TAAGTGGTTCATGTGGTGGTTACGAGGTAGCCCTGAACAAAGTAAGTAAATCATCATAAGCATGTCGCAGGCTAGAATCATCTTGTGCATATCATGAGTGACATTGCTATGATCATTTCATATGATGCTAGATGTGTTATGTTCAATATATTTATGCCATGCTCATCTTATGTTGTTCTAGTGGTATCATGTTCTAACCTGTAAATGCCATGCTGTTGTTTGTCTTGATTGCTTTGGTTGTTGTGAGCTTGCAAGTACATTCAATGTACTGACCTGGCGTGTCATGCCAGATTGTAGGTGATGTCGTGATTAATTGCTTGTCGAGGTCACCGTTCGTGCTAGCTAGACCGTGTCCCAGCCAGAGTCCCTGCGGAGTGGAGTCCATCACCGTCGTCGTTGTTCCGCAGTTTCGAGTTGTTCTGCTGCTTGCATAGAGCAACCGTGTCAAGCGTAGTGTCGCTGTGCCGGTGTAATTCCTTGTTATATCGTAACCTTTGTATCCATATCGATTGTAATAAAGAGCTGATTTGTTCTATGCTAAGTAGTGCCGTATTTCAGAAGACTTGATCTCTGGGTTGGAATACAGGGTGTTCTGGTCTCTCTGAGCTGGGGTGCCACATTAGATTTAAGTGGGCTTTGACCGGCGGTTGACCGGCCACTTTAATGTTTAATTATGTTTATTTCTATGACTTGTTTTTTTCTATGCCGACAAATTTGGGCCCGCCTCTTGTTGGGCGGCCAAGCCGACCCATATAAAAATGCGGACGCACATGTTCGCCTGACCGATCCAAACGGACAAAAAACGGACAAAACGTATTTCCATTTGGGTCGCCGCGTTAGAGTTGCTCTTATATTTATAAGAGAAAAATATACTTTTAGTCCCTCAACTCTTTGCGGAATCTAAATTTTATCCGTCAACTTGCACCATTGACTTTTAAAACCAGAGAACTTCAGTCTCTTGTCTCGGCTGATCCGATATTGTTGCTGACTCAGTACGGGTTTGACTGGTCTTTGTCTACGCGGCGGTATTTCTCTTGTTTTATTGAGCCATTTCATCGAACATCTGGCTTGCACTCTTGCGTGTTGTCCAAGGCCGAGCAGTGGCACCCAACCCTCCACGGCAAAAAAATATGACCTCGGCGGGATTTGAACCCTCCAACCGAAGGCAACTAGTAGCATAGATAACGCTAACCAACGCGCCACAATGTATTTGCTGGTGAATTAGTTTTCATTTTCAACATATAGTAAGGCAAAAGAATTCAAATCCAAATTTGAAATTCAAATTCCGTACGAAATTTTTACGGTATTTCGTTTTCGGTGCCCCGCGAGAAAAAATGTCTGCTCGGGATCCAAATCCTTGTACTGAACTCGGCGTGTGCGAAGTCGGGGTCCGTGTTGCACGCACGAGCCAAGTTGTTACACGAGTTTGATGTATGCCGTAAGTTCTAGCATCAAAGTGACCGTTTGCACCAAGTTTAAGCACCACCGATGTGATTGACTCGAAAGTATACTTTTCTCTATTTAAAAACGAGGGAGTATGTAGTAGGTGCGTCCTCTTGATGCTTCATATTAAATCAATATAAAATTCATCCCTTATCAAAAAAATACTTAATTACCTGTTACCGCGAATGAACGGGAACAATGTATGGTGAGCTTTTGGAATCTAAGTGAAAGACAAAATAGTGAAAGGGTGTAGCTATATCTCAGTCGAAAAAATTATACAGATCTCAATGCAAGATCTCGTGATATAGCATCAACTGAGAATTAGTAGGACTACAGTGAAAACGACCGCGCGCTGCCGTTCGCCCCGTCAAACATTGTGCAGCGCCGGCCGGCCGGCCGGCATTGAAAGGTTACCGCGTCACATGCCCTGGGCTCCAGCTAGAACGCGGGGAACTTGACCTGGTCGGTGCAGCGGCTCTGCATCGGCACCGCCGGGCAGGGGACGGGGCCGGTGCCGGCGAGGTCGACGCACTGGTACACCTGGTACAGCTGCGTCTCGTTGCGCGCGTTCCGGTTGCACTCGATGCCAGGCGCCGACCCCGTCGCCTCCCCGATGGCGTCCCGGATGCTGCCCACGCAGTACGTCCTCTCCTCCGACGGCGCGATCCCGGCGTCGAGGAGGATGCGGGTGAGGTTGAAGCGGACCTTGTACCGGAGCGCCGCGAGGAAGTAGGCGTGCTGGTCCATGTTGGAGCAGGTGCCGTGCCTGCTCCACTCGTGGCTCCAGAAGGCCGTGCTGTCGTTGCTCCTGCACGACAGCGTCCCCCAGTTCCGGTCCATGTCGCTCCTCAGGTCGCTGATCTGCAACGCATTCGCCGACAGATTACAGAGGGAACTTCTGGAGATGAAGAGTGGCATGCGGTTATTTATACGCACCAGCGACGGGTTGAAGGTGTCGCCGGCGTTGCAGAAGTCCGGCCAGCACCTGGTCCTGTTGGTATCGCCGGCGGGGCGGCACGCGGCGTAGTTGGGCCACAGGCCGTGGATGCCAAAGTCCGCCGCCGGCTTCACGTTGCCCGGGAAGCAGCAGCCGCCCGTCGTGTCGCAGAACGAGCCGGGCCACTGCATTCAGGAACGGTCAGCCACAGTTCAGACACACACACACGATAGAGCAATCAAAAGTTCATAAATGATTAGTTAGTTTACCTGCTGGACATGGTAGAAGAAATCGAAATCGGTGGCTGAGGCGAGAAGGAGAGGGAGCAGGAGGACGGCGAGAGAACAGCAATGGAGTCTCATGCTTGCACTCAGACAGTCTGATGCTCCCCGTATGTGCACTAATTGCGTTTATAAGCACAGGGTGAGGACTACAATCGCATATATTAGGACCGTAACGACATGGCGAATTGGGCAGGGCACCGACCGAAATGTGCGATCCTAAAGTAGTATAAAAAGATTTGTTTGGACTAATGTTCATACGGCAACACCTAATTAATCCTATGCGGGATCAGAAGTTCAGAACGAGCGCTGCAGCGCATGCAGGATCCCGACTCGACCATACGGGCACGAGATTCACGAGGACCAAAAGCTGGCACTTCCAAAATACTTTTAGACCATGGGCCATAATTGATCTGGTTCATTGAGTAATTAAGACAAAGTTCAGAGTTTGATGAAAGAGCCAGATCTGTGTTATGAGGCTACGATCATTGGTCCCTTTACAGTTTGGCAGCAATATAGTAGAACCCTGCAGAATGGATGTAGTAGTAGTTACTAATTAGACAGGCGGATCTCTGGATTGTAGTGTCGGTAGGGTTGGTTTTGCACTCGAATTTCTTGACAACAATACGGAAAGAAAATGTTTTTTCTGTGCGATCTCCACAAGCGAGCTGGTGGATCCGCCTCTCCTCTACATGGCGATCGGGCTGATGGCGGCGCTTCATTGTCGAGTCGGTCTTCCGTGCTCCTATTCTTCTCAAGTTTGTCTGTTGGTACTGATTAGACACATCTTCAATGTATCTTCCTGCCGGCTCTTCGAGGCAGTAAAGTTAGGGTTTCCAACCGTACATTCCCACGGTGAAATATGATGTCATGTTTCTCGGATCAATTTAAGGGTTCTATGGCGACGAGTATAGCTCTGGGGCGATGGTCCTTAGGGACATGTACACAATGATTTTTCGACTGTCATCGACAAGGTTAAGTCGGCTCTGATATAGAAGCGGTGACAGTGTCAATAGCTCATTCTAACGATGACAGTTTCGATGGTGGTTCAGAGATCTTAATGTATTTCTTTATCATGTTTCTGGTTTTTTGTACTTCTGATGAACCTTTATAATCCCTCCGTTAACAAATACAATTGTTTTCGGATATTTCAACATGAACTGCATATGAACTAAATGAGTGAACAAACACACTAAAACGTGTTCATATACATTTAATTTAAAAAAATGTTAAAGCATATTCCTCTATATCTAAATATCAGATATTTTTGCAGTTTAGTAGTAATGGATAGGAGTCCTCTAAAAAGTTGTTATGCTTTATGGCTCGATGCCTACATGGCAATGTTCAGCACTTACTTAGTGTCGGAGACAATGTTATTAGCAGTGTTGGTACCTCGCTCTGCTGAAAATGAATAGAAATCAAAATAAGATTGACGATACTTTAGCTATAATAGAGAGAACTGGTGATAGCACAACATGTTGGCTACTTCGTTCCTAAATATAAATGTTTCTAGAGATTTCAATATAAACTACATACGGATGTATATAGATATAGCTTAGAGTGTAGATTGACTCATTTTGCTCCGTATGTAATCCATATTGTAATCTCTATAAGACTTACATTTTCTCTATATACATTTAACATGTTTAAAATGCTTCGTTAATATTTTCTAATGTTTTATGTAGGTTTTTTTAATATAGTATATAATTAGTAGAATATTTGAAAGTGTAAACAAATTTAAAAATAAAGAGAAAAGCAAAAACAAAACACATGAAAAAACCCCAGAAAAACACGAGGTTGTGGCCTCGCGTACGCCTGGGCCGGTCCATCTGCCAGAGTTCCCTCGGTCGTGCACTTGGCCGGCCCAGCAGCTCGGACGACTTCAGAGTCGGAAGGCTGTGAGGTATAGCCGCGCCCGAGCCAAGTCGCGTCACTCCAATGCATGCGTCGCGCAAATCCTTCCCCCAGCAGCAGCCATGGCGGGGACACCAACGTCAACGGAAGGAGAATTCAGGGTAATTTCTGCTACGTAGTACACCTCAAAAGTTCTTGTACTTTTTTCCCTAGATATTTTTCTCCGAGAGAAGCTGCCTTTGACCAGATCTGAGTTAGTCAATTCGATGTCTCAGATCTCACGGATTCCTTTCTCATACAAAATCGGGTCCTCTGTTGTTTTTCCCCGTTTGATTTACAAAATCGGGTGCGTCCCTATACGAAGACGGAGACCGTGTCCGAGGAGGATCCCAAACAGATCAGGGAGAGCTACATATAAATATCCAGCCCCGTGCATTGCGTATATATACAGATCAAGTAAAGCTTAATTTCTTTCTGCCTTCAAGATGGCGGTTAATGACGTGAGAAAGAAAAAGGTGCCACAGAGAAAGCCAAGGACGATGAAGCGGCAGACTACATTTTCCTACGAGGACTTGCTGGACGAGATGGTGTGGGAGATCTTAATCAGGCTTCCCGTGGAATCACTGATGAGGTTCAAGTTGGTCAGCAAGGCTTGGCGCAGCATCATCTCGGATCCTGTTTTTGTTCGTGCGCACCTCCGTTACTCCAAACAGAAACATCACAACCCATTATCCTTCCTTATCATCCCCGAGACTTATCTGGAATCGGATCCTTCCAACATTGTCTCCACCAACATCCGCCTCTACCACTGCTCTTTACAACAACAACAACAACAACAGCAACAACAACAACAACAACAACAAGATGACAGAATGAGCAGTAGTGCAATTGCAACACTCCTTTACGGGAAGCACTTCCAGGCAGGCGAGTTTGGGTTGGTGTCCCAAATGGCACACTGTGATGGCTTGGTGCTGCTACCCACCGACACCAACACCTACATCTTTTAACCCTACCATGAGAGATGTCGTCGAGCTGCCTAAGAGCCACCGCAACATGTTGCAACATTCAACCTGCCTTCCAATTGGATTTGGCCTTGATGCTTCCACGGGCAGATATAAGGTTGTGCGCTCTTTCTACTATTCCATTGATTGCCATCACATTGCGATGGGAATGGAAGTGTTCATCATTAATGATGGCCAAGATAGATCTTGGAGGGAAACCTTGACTGATCCACCCGCCCTTATCTCGTGTCCTCAGACTGCCATACACTGCAAGGGTGTCTATTCTATTTCATTGATGGAAAAATCCACAGCTGCTCCACGCGGGTGCTACTCCGTTTCAGCCTTGGGGACGAAACATTTGGTTTTACTCCATTGCTTCCTAATATGTACACTCAAGTTGAAGATGAAGATATTATTGTCCATGAGCTCGATGGGGAATTATGCGCTACCATCTTTTCGAAGGTGCGGAGGAAAGTCTTGATATGGATGACAAGAGATATCCTAGATCCACAATGGAAGTGTCATTGCATAATCAATTTCTCAGAGCCGTGCTATCCAATAGCCTCGCTAAGCCATGGTGGGTTTCTTTTAAGAAGAGGCAATAGTCTCTTCCGTTATTACTTGGAAGCTCACGACATAAAAGAAGAAGACACATTGGATATCGATGACTTAAGGTTCATTGGACATACCGAAGACACCATGGGGCATGCATGGGAAAACGTTTGTTGGTTCGACATACTTTTATACACGGAAAGCCTTGTTCCAATTACTCCCAAGGCGAGCTTACAAGCCTTGTAATGTGTACGCTTGTCCCTACTCATGACCACCTTCTTTGGTGGATCATCAGATGTTTCTCTCTGGAAAAGGAATAATAAGAAGCATGAGCCAATGTTTGTTTCATGTTGTACATGGCACTTAAATGAGGTCCTTTTTATGTGCATCTTTCTATAGTTTCCTCAGAAACTTTGCAAGGTGTTATTGTCGTGGTTGTTATATGCATTTTTAGGAGCAGCCAATCAAAGTCATTCAAATAAGAGATATGAATCATAAGATCTTATTAGCTAGGAAATTAGGACTAGCCCTTGGAGTTGAATTTATGCATCCATATCTGCAAGAAAGGGTGTGATATTGTTAGGCCCCCCTCCCCTCCCTAGCGCCACCGCGAGCCCCCTCTATGCGCCTCCCCCCCCTTGCCGCCGCCTCGACGTACTAGCAGGCAAAGCCCGGCAATGCTGGCGGCGGCGGCGTGCTCTTCTTCCCCCGCTCTGTCTGGCGGGCGCGGAACTCCAGGTCGGGCGGTGGCTTGGGGTTTGCTCGGGGCGCAGCAACAGCAGTCGCCGGTAGCGGACTGGCGGATTGTGGGCGGCACCTTGAAGGGGCTTGAAAGGATCGATATGGTTGACTAGAGGGAGGGTGAATAGGCAACTAACAATTTTTAACTTTTATTTACCAAATTGAACTTTGCATCAAAGTAGGTTGTCTAGATGTGCAACTAGGTGAGCAACCTATATGATGCAACAACAACAAGCAAGCAAGCAAGAGAAGTAACACTAAAGAGCTTGCACAAGTAAAGGTAAGAGATAACCAAGAGTGGATCCAGTGAAGACGAGGATGTGTTACCGAAGTTCCTTCCTTTTGAGGGGAAGTACATCTCCATTAGAGCGGTGTGGAGGCACAATGCTCCCAAGAAGCCACTATGGCCACCGTATTCTCCTCACGCCCTCAAACAATGCGAGATGCCGTGATTCCACTATTGGTGCCCTTGAAGGCGGCGACCGGACCTTTACAAACAAGGTTGGGGCAAATTCCACAACTTAATCGGAGGCTCCCAACAATACCACGAAGCTTCACCACAATGGACTATGGCTCCGTGGTGACCTCAACCGTCTAGGGTGCTCAAACACCCAAGAGTAACAAGATCCGCTAGGGATAGGTGGGGAAATAAAAAATCTCTTGGTGGAAGTGTAGATCGGGGCCTTCTCAACCACTCCCGAGCAAATCAACAAGTTTGATTGGCTAGAGAGATAGATCGGGCGAAAATGGAGCTTGGAGCATTAATGGAGCTTAAGGGGGAAGAGGTAGGTCAACTTTGGGGAAGAAGACCCCTATATATAGTGGGGGGAACAAACCAACCTTTACCCCCGCCCCGCAACGAGCGGTACTACCGCTTGGGTGGGCGGTACTACCGCTGAGCCAGCGGTACTGCCGTTCCACCTAGCGGTACTGCCGCGCAAAGGAGAGAAGCAGGGACCTGGACCCAGAGCGGTACTACCGCGGTGGTAAGGGCGGTACTACCGCTGAGAAGCGGTACTACCGCCTCTACTGCCGCAACTAGTGCCGCACAACCCGACATGAGAAAAGAGCCCTCGAGTCGAGGCGGTAGGAACCTGGCAACCCAACGGTAGTACTGCTGCGGAGTCACCGGCGGTACTACCTTTGCGGGGCGGTACTGCCGCTTGTGACCCCTCAGCGGTACTACCGCTGGGTACCACGGTACTACCGTTGGGACCCAGACAAAGCCCACAAGCAGAGAGCAGGTCTCTCCATCGAAGCGGAAGGGCTCGGAGGGTGAGAGGCAGATGTGTACGTGTTGATTCCACCCAAGCAATACCAAGGTGGACCCCCTCTTGATAGTACGGTGCCTTCTACACAACTAGTCCACCGAAAGAGAAACGAAAGAGCTACACCGTCTTGAATGACACTCCGAGGAGAAGAAATCATCTCGTGCCAAGGATGAATCTCTGAAATGCTCAAAGCACATGATTAGTACGCAAACACGTTGTCATCAATCACCAAAACCACATCGAGAGAGATATACCTCAACAATCTCCCCCTTTTTGGTGGATTGATGACAACTAGGGATTTGCAAAAGGAAAAGATACGAAAGTAAGGATACTTAGAACTACAAAATATAGACGGGCTCCCCCTGAATGTGTGCACCTAGTTAGTGGAGCCTTTGGAATGCAAGACACACACATTCGGATCAACACTCCCCCTATATTTTATAGTCCAACAATTCTAAGCACATGATATATGAGATAAGGGTATAAAGCAGGATAAGCATGCAACTCATAAGATACTACAGTACTGAATAGACATAAGTAATAAGGTAGCAATAGGGAGCATATGTCTCACACCATATGTCTAGAACTTAGGTCTCACTGGCATCAAACCAAACCAAGCAAGGACAACTAGAAAACACACGAGAAAACACAAGACACAAAGACACACTCACAACACAGCAACAACACAAATCCCTAAACTCTCTCCCCCTTTGGCATCAAGACACCAAAAGGGCAAAGAGCGTTGCTACGGCTCCAGGTGATGGAAAGCTGAGGATCTCGAACATCACATCTCAGCGTGATCATCTGCATCTCCATCGTTGGTCAGAAACTGCTCGGCGTCTGAATCAGTCCAAGGGCAATGCTGGTGAATCCATTCCTCCTCTTTAGTGATCTCTCCCTTAGAACTGCTTGCAACGGTCGCACCCAGGTGATGCATGAGCTCCTTGTGGCGCACCCTGGCCTGCTTCTCAGCCACATGAGTCATGTACTGACCATGAGACTCCATGCAGAAAAGCTTCTTCATCTTGTGTTTAAGCTTCTTTGCCCAAGAAGGTTCTGCACTAGCGGGCCCAAAGTCCTCCTCGTGATCATCAGTTGCAGCCTCACCCTCAGGCTCCATGGCAGCATCAGTAGTAGATGGACCCCCGGGTTTAGGAGCTGGGGTGCCCCAATTGTCCTTCCTCAGACGCTTGATCTCATGAGAAACCAAGTCTCCAGTTTCCAACATCACTCTGGGATAGACACGAGCCCAGGCCTTCTCAGTGAGCCTCATGATGAATGGACCATATATTGGGCACTTGTGCTCAGAAACGGCGGAGAGAAGTTCAGACCACATAACATGAGAAATGTCCAGGCTCTCTCCAGTGTTTGCTTCCTTCTCATGCTAGCAGAAAAGAAGCATGTCCACGAGATAGGACTGGACCATATCCAGATTCCCGATGCGAGGGAAGAGAGTCTCATGGAAGACACGATGAAGAATGTCCAGATACGTAGACAGCTCATAGGTTTCCTTCTTAGTCACTGGGTGAACCTTCACAGTGCAGTAGGGCCAAAGGGCTTGCTTGTGAGTGGATGTAGCATTGCGGTGAGGGCGGAAGCCTACTGGAGTCTCAAGCCCTTGATCTTCCACATCAAGTAACTCCATGAAGGCCTTCCACTTGACGGAAAGGAACTTGCCATTGGTCATCCAAGTCAGAGTCCTATCGGCATCAGTTCCAAGATGAACGATAGCAAAGAATTGAGCCACCAAATCTGCATCAAAATCCTTGTTGAACTGCATGATTATGAGAATGTTCAGCTGAGAACACATCTGAAGGGCTTCGCCAAAGTACTCAGGGTCCTTCTCCATGGCATCTGTGTCGATGGAGCGAACATCAACAAAGAGATTTTTCTTGGCCTTGATCACATCAAAATACATGGCAAACTGAAAGCGGTTCCAGAACGGGCGGTTGACCAAAGTGGGATCTTGGTCTGCTTCATAGGGGTTGCGGCGACGCTTTTCCCAAAACTCCTTGGCAGTCATCTCAGTCACAGTCTTTCCCTTTGGCTTGTTGGCGGATCTCTTCGACTGCTAAGGTGGTGGTGGAGCACTTGCGGATGCGCCTGCTGGTGGCGGTTGAGTACTAGAGGAACCACCTGCTGGCTCAGAGGTGCGATAGCGCTTTGACGTTGCACGCCCGGGGTTGACACGGCGGACCTGCTGCTCAGGATGATCATCACCTAGAACCAAACATAAGAACACGCAAAACAACCAAAAAGAATGAGCATAAGCCAACAAACACATCAAAAAGGATCAAGGTATGGCAGGAACATGATGGAACTTGGCAGGCGGCGGTAGTACCGCGTCATGCACGCGGCAGTACCGCCCAAGCGGTAGTACCGCTTCAAAGAGAGCGGTAGTGCCGCTCGAGGCGGGGAAACATCAGTTCCCTACTATCATGG